GAGGTTGCGGTGAGCCGAGATCGCACCATTGCACTCCAGCCTGGGCAACAAGAGCAAAACTCAGTCTCAAAAAATAAATTAATTAAATTAAATTAAAATGTTAGGGTTTGGCCAGGCGTGGTGGCTCAAGCCTGTAATCCCAGCACTTTGGGAGGCCGAGATGGGCGGATCATGAGGTCAGGAGATCGAGACCATCCTGGCTAACCCGGTGAAACCCCGTCTCTACTAAAAAATACAAAAAACTAGCCGGGCGAGGTGGCGGGCGCCTGTAGTCCCAGCTACTCGGGAGGCTGAGGCAGGAGAATGGCGTAAACCCGGGAGGCGGAGCAGTGAGCTGAGATCCGGCCACTGCATTCCAGCCTGGGCGACAGACTCTGTCTCAAAAAAAAAAAAAAAGTTAGGGTTTGACTTCCATCACAATTTGCTTGTGAATGGTTCACGAATCCCAATTTCTGGCCCAGATTTGCCTCCTGAGCTTCAGCTCTGTATAACCATATCTACTTCATCACGTCCCAGATGGTGCCCAGGATGGCCCTGCCTGTGTTCTGCACGTTCAGGAAATGCACCACCCCTGCCCCAGGTGTCCCACCAGAAGCCTCCACTCCTCATCTCCTGAGTCCACTCAATTACCATGCCCTGTCAGTACTACCTCTGGGCTGTCTCTTACTTCCACCCCTTCTTGGCATCCTTTCTGCCCCAACCTAGACCAGGCCACCGTCTCAACTCTAGACAGCCATACAGCGTAACTGTTCCTACCAATCTGTCCACAAGGAGCCATTCTCCACATGTTAAATCCTCTCCTTAAAATGAATCCTTGGGATCCATTCCTGATTCTCCAGTCCCTTTGCCACCCTGCCCAGGCACCCTTCTAGCCATCCCCACTTTGTTCATCTGCTTCAATCCCTCAAACACACAGCATACTCTCACACAAGTGCTCCTACCACTGCTATGGAGATGCTTTCAATTCCACACACCTTCCCCTCATCTGACTGACACCTACTCAGTCTTCAGGTCCTACTTTACTTGGTAGCTGCTTCCTGAAGCCTTCCCTGCACCATCTAGTCCAGTTGATGTGCCCAACCGAGATTCCTATGTTCCTCCCACTTCCTTCTCACAGCACTGATCACTGCGTGTGGTAACTGTCTTTATCATCTTCTTTCCCATTAGAGCTCTTCTGGGGTAAGGGACACCTCTGCCTTTTTCATTACAGCCCCTCAAGAATGTTCATTAAGTATCAATGAATGGATGAATAGAAGGACTAAGGATCTTTAGGAATCACTAACGTAACAATTCTTTAATTGGGTTGGCAATTCACAAACGATAGCGTTTCAGGAGAGGGGCAAAGCAGAAAGGGCCGAGGGGTTGGGGAAGTCCTGAAAGGAACTGGCCTGTCCAGAGTTAATGCTCAGTAATGCAGAGCCAGGCATTACCACTGTCTTTACAGTGCTGATCATCTGGACCCAGACCAAAGACCTGGTGCCAATGACTGCCCTGTAAAGGCAGTGGTAAATAGCAAAGTCAGGCAGATCAGCTCCCTCCAGAGTTTGGACAGATGAGTCCAAAGTGAAATGGCTATTTAGCAGGAGTTTCCCTGACCCCTCATATCCACCCCCTTCTACGATTGTTGTGAGCAAGTCCGTTCCTTAGGCGATGTCACCGGCACGGGTGAAGGGCAGGCGTGAGAGGGCTGGAAGCACGTGATCTCGCCTCTAAGTGCAGGGAAGGTCGCAAGGTTGGACGCCAATGTGCCCGGCCTACAAGAGAGCCAGGCCGCCCTGACTGCCAAGCGAATGGAACTGCACTTGCCCAGCGTTCTGAGTGGAATGCGCACTTTGCAATCTGAGAATACTTCCCAGAAAAACGGATCCCTACGCCTCGTGCCTTCCTGAAAGCAGAGACTGCTACCCCCTCACTTACAGAAGGTCTCCTGGCCTACGCGCACTTTAATCATGATCCACTCCATCGTTCCTCCCAGGACAAAAAAGAAGGGCAGGAACCGGTAGATGCCAAGTCGCTGCTTCCCGGGCACCCGCTGCAGAATCCGTCTCACCTGGGCCCTGGTGAACATGCTCGACCGAGGTCGTGGAGATGGGTATGGCGGAACTACGCACTGGAACGCCCGGACGCAGCCAAGGCCGGCCCCGCCCGTACTCGCCGTGTACGGCGGCCTGGAATACTAACGAGCGCGGTACGGTACGCGTACGAGTGCCGGAAAGCTGGGCGCCGACCTCCTAAAGCAAGGCGGATCAACCAATCAGAATGCAGCGGGGGGCGTGAGGTTCCGCCAATCAGAGTACGCAGGGTGCGCGTGCTCCCTGAGGCCGAGCAGGGCCAGAAGCTGCTGGCGCAGGCGCCTCAGCTCTGGAGGTGGGGCTGCCCAAAAGGGAAGGGCAGCCCACGTGGCGTCGGCCCGGCCCCGCCCTCTGCCTCCCCAGTGCGGGTCTGAACTCGGAGCTGGCAGCCGCGCCCCCTACTTTGCCACCGCCATTTTTATTCTTAATACCCAGAGAGAAGTGATAACCCTCTCGGATGGACTATGTACAGCACCACATTCCAAAATGCAATTATGCAATGCCTTGCGTTTATTTCGGAGATGTGATTGGTGCCTAGACTTCTGAAGTAACAGAATTTGATATGGAGTGTTGAAAGCTGAACTTTATCAATGATCACAGCAAAAATCTAAGCGCTGCGTGAGATACCTAAAATTAATAAAAGCTATGTTGTATGGGGCACTTACCGTTCTACAGGAACTTGTAGGTGCTTTACTCACAACAATCGCAGAAGGGCAGGATAGTTAAAGAGCATGCGCTCTGTTATCAAACCACATCCCTGCTCTACAGGTGCTCCCTTAGCCCATCTGTGCTTCAATTCCCTAAGCCGTAAAACGGAGGCCTTGTTCTGACGCTGTGAGAATGTAGTGCGGTAATAGGAATGAGGCACTGAACACAACCCTGGAGCATAGTAACTGATTAACATTAGTTAGAATATTCACTATGATGATAATGATTGGCAGAGCTCTTCCCATGTATTCCCAAATATGGTTTTTGTTTGTTTTTTGAGACAGGATCTCACTCTGTCATCAAGGCTGAAGTGCAGTGGCGCAGTCTCGGCTCACTACAAACCCCTCCTCCCCTGCTCAAGACATCCTCCCACCACTACAGGGGTGCACCACCACACCCGACTAATTTTTTAATTTTTTGTAGAGACGGGGGTCCCACTATATTGCCCAGGCTGGTCTCAAACTCCTGGGCTCAAGAGATCCTCCTGCCTTGGCCTCCCAAAGTGCTGCAATTACAGGCATGAGCCACCGCGCCCAGTCTGAACGTGTATTCTTTACATGTATTCTCTTAATTGACTAAGAAGCTATGCCAGATAGAAGCAGGGCTTTGACTTAAGAGACTTCACTTGTCATTGCGTCCTCTCATGCTGCTGTGCTTGCTGAAGATAACTGAAGGGGGCTGTCACCCCATTACCTAGAACTAAAATAAAAACTGCAGGAACAGCTTTGAGAAGGGAGACAACTATTAGACAATCTAAGGGAGGTAAATGAAAGCTTAGAACCAATGAGACGATTTGGTGATATGGACACAAAATATACAAAAGCAGACTGGAGAGAGCAAGCAGCGCCCCAGAAAGGGTCATAGGGCCCGCAGTGAGTAGCCTGAGCTGCCGCCTGTACAACCGGCTTTGGAGGGCCAGCCCGGAAGCCTCTTTCTTCTCCGGGTTGACTCCACCCAAGCATGCACACACACAGGCTTGATGCTCGCTCCAATTTCTACAGGAGGTTTTGACGGCTGGACGCTGCAGAGCAGCCCCTCGTCTGGAGAGGTTCACGTGTGGCCAGGTTCCCAGCACACCCACTAGTTCAGTGGGGCCCTGGGGGCACCGCCACACTCAAGCCCATCCTATGGCCTCAATCCTTACCAGTCTCCAGGCCATGGACTGCCACACTAGGTCTTCAATCAAGGTTCAGTGGAGTTTCGAATGTACACACACCCTGAAAGACAGCGAGGCCACCTCAGAAAACAACGCGTGCCCAGCTGGCACCCTTCGACAGGGCCCACGGGTGCTGGGTCGGCCTCCTCTGGACCCGGCACACAGCCTGGTGCGGGCTCGGAATACGGATCTGAGCAGAAGAAATGCGAGTGGAGAGCGGTTCTGCGCAGGAAAGAGGAATTTTGTTGGAAAGCCTGGCGACATTGCTAGAAAAGACCACAGCATCTCACGAGGGGCCTGCGTCGGGAAACCGGGGGTTGACGGGTGTGGCCACTTACCGAGGTCAGAAACAAGCAGGCGCAGTGACCGTGGCCCACAACCCTGCAGCGCACGGCCCAGTCACCTGGTTGAGTTAGAAGGGGTCACCCTAGCGGGAGAAGAGTCTGCCTTAGTGGACGTCGGCTGCCCTGCAGGCCTCTCGGCCTCCCCCAGCGTGGGCCTGGCACCGGGGAGCGCGGGAAAGGCTCTTTATTTGTTAGACCAGTGAGTGGACCGGCCTGGGCTCTGGTCAGTGGTCAGTCAGTCCGAGCCCGGAGACTGGGGACCAAGACCCCCGGAAAGGAGCGCACCAGGACTGGGGGGAGAGGCAGAGAATCTGGGGTCAAAAGCATCCAGAGGCGCAGGGTGGGGCGGGCGGACCCGGGAGCGGAGAGGGCGGTAGAGGACCTGGGGACCGGGGTGGGGGGGGGTACACGTCGCGCTCGGGCTGTCTCTGCTCGGCGCCTCGGCCGTCCGGAGCCTCGCAGGGACGGCCGCGCTTAGGCCCTCTGACATCCAGGGCTGGGGCCAGGGAAGGGCGCCGCCATCGCCGGCGTGACGGCCGAAGGGGGGCGCGGAGTCCTCCCGCGCCGCGCGGGAGACTGGGGGAGGGGGCTGGGGAGCCCGCCCCGCCCGGGCCGGCCAGACCCGGCCCGGCCCGGCCCCGCCGGGTCCGGGGCCTCCCGCCCCACGGGCCGAGGGGCGCGCCCATTGGCAGGCCGGGCTCCGCGCGACGCACCCATTGGCCGGCCGCCGTGAGGAGCACGAGGCCACCGTGGCGGGCGCGCAGTCGGAGGGCGGAGGGCGGCGGGCGGCGGGCGGCGGGAGGGCCAGGGCAGCGCGGGCGGCGGGCGGCGGGCGCCGGCGGCGCGCGGTGGGCATGGCGGGTGCGGGGCTGCGGGCGGTCGCTCGGCGCTGGCTGCTGTGCGGAGGCCACGGCGGGCCGCGAACTGCCTCGTCCTCGCCCTCCTGCCCTGGCTGCGGCCCCCCGGGTCCCGGCGCCCACTGTCCCGGCGCCCCGCGCTCCGCGCCCGCCCAGGCACCCGCAGGCGGCGCCGACCTCAGCGCGCACCTATGGGCTCGCTACCAGGACATGAGGAGACTGGTGCACGGTGGGTGAGCTGGGGCGGGACGTGCGCCGGGGTGTCTTCCGCGTGGACTGACTGACGGACCGAGCCCCAGGGCGCCGCTCCTGCGGGGAAGCACCCAGTGGGGCTCGCCGGGGCCGCGGAGCCCAAGGACCAGGCTGCTTTTCGCGAGAAGGTCCGGCCGTTCATCCCGGGGGCCTCTGGGGCGCCCCGACGCCCGGGGGCGGGCGGGAGGTTTGTTCCCCGGCTCGGTCTGGGGAGTTCGGGGCGCCTTGAGTGGCTGCCGGAGTGCTGGGCCCCCGCCGTCTTCCTTCGGGGTCCCGCCCAACGTGAGGCCGCGGCGGAAACGCCCCCAACCCCTTGTTCTCGGCCAGCCCTTAGTTGGGGCGGGAGAGTGCTGTGGACAAAGCCAGCGAGCGGCGCCGGGCGGAACGGGCTCCTGGGGACGGCCGGACCAAAGGGGACACCGGTTGGACTTCCCAGACACCTCGATGTCGCCCTGGAGGTCCGGCCCCCTGTCAGCACGGGAAGCGAAGACTGGGAGAAACCAAGTCACCCCCGCCCCCTGTAGCCCAGACTAGAGCTGCAAAGGGCACTTAACCTCCCTGTCCCTGCTCTCTCCCTCTGAGAAATGGCTTGAGGAGGCTGAGGCCCCTTCTTAGAGGGGGCCGGCTAGGGCTCACTAGTGAGGCCCCAGAGCTGAGAGTGCTGGACATCTGACTGCTTGTCTTCCTGTGTCTAGTGGGGCCCTGCTTCTGCAGCAGACAGATGTGGTTTGGGTCGTGACCCTATCACTGAGCAGCTGGGTGGCCCCAGGCAAGCCTCACCCTCTCTCAAGCATGAAACGCAGTCCTGGGGCCTCTCTGTCCCAGGGTTGGGTGATGACTGGAACCAGGCCAAGTGGGGCAGGGGAGCTTCCGGAGGAACCCCCAGGGGTGACGTAGCTTTCATTGTCTGATAAGACAAAGTGGCCCTGTCTGGAAGATTCCAACTGGCTAGACAAGGGTTTTCACTCCGGCTTTGTGGGGTGGCTGAGAATCACTTCTTGACCAGTGAAGGCAGAATGGTAAAGGCCCCTGAGGAATGGTCATTTTGAAGCCTTGGGCATCTGTCCACCCTCAAGGTCCCGGGTTGAGTTTGTGTCTGTGGAGAGGCTGCCCAGTGTTATTTATGAAGTCTTTGCTCTGGGCCTGGAGAAGACCCTGTGAGTATCCTGAGAAGCCTGCCTTGGAGGTTTCAGGGAGGAGCACGGGGATCTACTGGACATTGTCCTCCTGGGCCTGTCTGCATCTTTGGAGCCTCACAGCCCTCTAAGCTCCTCTTGTCATACAACGAGCAAAGTCATTTCCACCAAGATCCCATGGTGAGCACCACAGGAGCCAGCTTCACACCTTTGGGCTAAAGGTCTGCTTTGGGCTAATGCCTATGGGCTAAGAGCAGCGCAGCACGTCCCTCAGTCCACCAGCCCCCACCCGCCTGGCCTCAGTGTGGTGATAGTGGGAGGCTAGGCTGAGAGGCAGAGTGATTAATGCAGGTGGGGTGACTTGAATGGTGATCTCAAACCCGGTGCCTGTTACTGGGTGGTTTCGAGCAAGTGACTTCACCTCCCTGAGCCACAGTTTCTTCCTCCGGACGATGGGGGAATAAGTGAGACTGCCTCACAGGGTGAGAGTGAGGATTGAACGAGACAAGCCTCTAAGACATCCACAAGTGTCATGGCTGCTAGGGAGCAGTTTGCCCTGGGAGCTGGAACCATGGGCAGGTGTGGGAGCTGGGGCTGAGGAGAAAGGAGGGCAATTGCTGGACATGCTGGGTGGGACACACCCTCAGCTGCCCCCCAACCCACACCACCTATGGAAGGGAACAGGCCGCTGTCGCCCCAGAGCCAAGAATTTTCTAGTCTAGAAATCAGGCCTGGCCACCAGGCTCTGTGGCTCTTTCCCCATCCTGCTTTGTTCTTGGGAGGACTGTCTGCCCCTGGGCCCCTGGGAACATCCTTAAGGGCAGAGGTGAAGGCCAGGACTCTGCCAGCAAGAGGCTGCAGTGGCAAGCAGACCCTCCGAGGTCTTCTGCACCAAGAGTCACAGTCACAGTTGGTACCTGGGAACTCAGAGCCATGGGAAGGGCAAGGCCCAGGGTCCTAGTGACACCAGAACCCTAGGCCTTGAGGCGTGGCTCAGAAGCAACTCCCTAGAGCATTGCAGTCAACTGTCCAAGTGAGGGCTCCTGTCTACACCCACGGATCTTTGGAGCAGCCACTCTGTACTGGCCCGGGGAAGCAGCCACACCTGATCCCCCACCCACACCCTGAACTTGACTCCAAAGGAAAGGGGTGGGGATGGAGCCCTGTGTTCCCAGAGTGCCTCTGAGGCAGGTGCTCTGGGCACAGAGCACATCAATAAGGTGTCTGCCTCTTGAGTGCAGCAGCTGCCAGGCACACTGGGGCTTCCCTGGCCCTCTGGCCTGGCAGCTCCTGCTTTGTGATCGGCACTGGGGTTGTGGCTGAGACAGGGATCCCCTGGAGTCTTACAGCTGGGGTCCCTGCAAGGCAGTGCCCTGTGCATCTAGTCCTGCCTGCTCCCTTCTCCCTGCAGCCCCTGCTTCTGGAGGGACACTAGGAAATTGGGGACAGGATGCTCATAGGCTCAGGAAACATATCACCCATTTAATCCTGTATATGTGCGGGTGCAGAGTGAGATTGCTGCACAGAGTAGCACCTTCCATATGACCCTCTTAGTAATTCTGTAGGTTGGTACATTTTTTTTCTTTTTAAAAATGTTTTCACAGAGATAGGGTATCGCTATATGGATTAGACTGGTCTTGAACTACTGGGTTTCAAGCAATCCTCTCGCCTCAGCCTCCTGAGTAGCTAGGACTATAGGTGTGTGCCACCAAGCCCCACTTGGTACAACTTTTCCTACCCTTTTAGAAACTAGGAAACTGAGGCTCAAGAGGTGAGGTGACCTTCCTGAAGTCATAGCCGTGAGAGCTCCCTCTATCATGGTCTTGTCTGGTTGACCTCATTGCATGTGGCCTTCCTGGCACATCTCCTTTCTTTTCCTTTCCCTTCCACTTTCCCCATTGTACACACAGGGAAACCAGGGCAGGTAACGTGGGGCCTCTCAGCCTCGTCTGCCTCCTTGGGACCCCAGAACCCATGCTGCACAGTGCCCTGCTCAGCACCCTGCTGTGGGCCTCAAAGCCAACTGCACCCTCCTGGGAGCAGCCAGGGACTTGGGGTGGCCACGACCACATCCCCAGAAGGAGCAGCCCGGATAATGGCCCAGAACCTGACATCACGTCCTGCCTGTCGTAATTAGCAATGTTCCCTGGCTAGAGCCAGCAAATGTCATTATATGGGCTGGCGGGTAGCTGAAATCTGATTAGAGGGGCCTCACTCTCCCTGGGCTATGGGAGGTGCACAGAGCTGGCAGCCCGATCAGCAGAGGGACGCCCCCTCCCACTAATGTTCCTGAGCCCCAGTCCCAGCTCTGGGAAAGGTAGAAAAGTCAGCATCCATGGCCTCAGCTCCCTAGTCTGGCCATACAGAGCCAGCCACTCTGGGTTGGAGTCCTCAGTGCCCACACGCTATCCTCACACATAATCCCAGGGAGGCTGAGAGATGAGGCCAGGGGGCAGGGCAGGGCCCCTGAGAGAAGCAGAGGAGCCACTGAATTGTAGGCGGCCCAGACAGTGATGTTCCTGCATGGGTTTTGAGCAAGTGGGAGGATTTGCACTGTAGAGCATCCCAAAAGCAACTGTTCTGGGGCTAGGCAGTGAGGAGTTAAGTGACTGCTGCCAGGGTTCTAGCATGGCCCTGTGTCTGATGGGGCTTAGTGATGAAGGCCTGGAGTAGTCACAGACTCAGTACACCTGGTGGGCTGCAGGAGATAGTGTAATGCAGGCAGGTGTAACCATGGGGAGGAGCTCCAGCCAGGGGCTCTGCCTTATCCTAACCACGTGACCCTGGGCAAGTGACTTCTCTCTGGGCCTGTTTGAGCATCTGCAGCACTGGAATAAGAGGAACCATTGTGGGGTGTTTCTGAGGCTCACAGGGCTAGTCCCCCACAGAGTGCTCAGGAGCCATAGCTGCCGCAGGGATCATCGTCCCCATCACTGCCTCCCTGCATCTCCTTCCTCTAGACCTCCTGCCCCCCGAGGTCTGCAGTCTCCTGAACCCAGCAGCCATCTACGCCAACAACGAGATCAGCCTGCGTGACGTTGAGGTCTACGGCTTTGACTACGACTACACGCTAGCCCAGTATGCAGACGCACTGCACCCCGAGATCTTCAGCGCCGCCCGTGACATCCTGATCGAGCACTACAAGGTGAGACGGGGGTCCTTGCCACCAACACGCCCAGGGCCTGGAGGCCAGCCAGACCCACCTTGGCCTAAGCTCAGGGCTGAGTCGTGGGGCTTCCCTGGCCCTCTTGACTGGCCGCTGCCCTGGGCAGGTGGCTGGATTGACTGCCTGGGGTGGCCACCAGCCAGCAGGTCTGGCAGGGTTATGGGCTTAGGCCTGGCTGCTTTCCCCCGGCAGTACCCAGAGGGGATTCGGAAGTATGACTACAACCCCAGCTTTGCCATCCGTGGCCTCCACTATGACATTCAGAAGGTGAGTGGCTGGACCTGTATAGGGGCTCCCTCCTTGGTGTCCTCTTGGTATGGTCATTACCCCTTAATACCATCCAGCTGGGGTTCTGGCATGGGCTGAAAGAGGCTGGCTTGGGGCCATGGTGAAACTGCCTCCTCACCGTCTGTCCTGCCTCCCTGATGCCCCCAGAGCCTTTTGATGAAGATTGACGCCTTCCACTATGTGCAGCTGGGGACAGCCTACAGGTCAGTTGGCTCTGCCCCGACCCCACCCCTGCCCCACCCTACACTGCTGTTCTGGCTCAGGACTACCTTGGACTGATGGTATCTTGGGCCTGCTCAGGGGCCTCCAGCCTGTGCCAGATGAGGAAGTGATCGCGCTGTATGGGGGCACCCAGCACATCCCACTTTACCAGATGAGTGGCTTCTATGGCAAGGTACTCCATATCCCAGCAGCCAGCTTGCCCCATGGACATGTGCCCAAGTCCCAAGGCAGATTTGGAGCCCTCATCTCCAGCACTGAAGGGGGTGGGGCCTCAAAGGGTGTCTGAGACAATGGCCCCCTCCGCAGGGTCCCTCCATTAAGCAGTTCATGGACATTTTCTCACTGCCGGAGATGGCTCTGCTGTCCTGTGTGGTGGACTACTTCCTGGGCCACAGCCTGGAGTTTGACCAAGCGCACCTCTACAAGGATGTGACGGTGAGGATGCTGGGCTTGCCCTCAGATGGCAGGGAAAGCTAAGTCCAGCCACAGCAGGACAGGCCTGCCTGGGCCCTGCTGCACCCTCATTGTCCTCCACTGCCCCCAGGACGCCATCCGAGACGTGCATGTGAAGGGCCTCATGTACCAGTGGATCGAGCAGGACATGGGTAAGGGTGGATAGAAGCCCTGCCGTGGCCAGCCTGAGCAGGTGGCAGAGCTGGCCCTCACAGACCCATCTGCCCCATTAGAGAAGTACATCCTGAGAGGGGACGAGACGTTTGCCGTCCTGAGCCGCCTGGTGGCCCATGGGAAACAGCTGTTCCTCATCACCAACAGTCCTTTCAGCTTCGTGTGAGTCCAGCCCCTGTGGACGGAGGGACAGCAGGGCCAGGGCTCTGGGTGGGGAGGGCAGGCACAGAGCTGCCCTCAGACTACTTGCCACCGGAACCTCCTCCGCACAGAGACAAGGGGATGCGGCACATGGTGGGTCCCGATTGGCGCCAGCTCTTCGATGTGGTCATTGTCCAGGCAGACAAGCCCAGCTTCTTCACTGACCGGCGCAAGTATGGCCATGGTGGGGGTCACAGGGTCAGGGAAGGGGAATAGAGGCCTCCCCCCAGTGAGGGGATTGAAGCAGGAGGCCAACCTGGCGTTTGCCCACTGCCCAGTGTGCTTGGGGTGGGGACACCCCCTTGCTGGCATGGGTCCACTTGAGCAGGTGGGCCTTTATGAAGGAGGGATGGGGGTTGCCCGGCCCATGGCCCAGCCACAGACTGGAAGTCAAGCCCTTTACCTGCACCCCAGGCCTTTCAGAAAACTCGATGAGAAGGGCTCACTTCAGTGGGACCGGATCACCCGCTTGGAAAAGGGCAAGATCTATCGGCAGGTAAGGGCCATCTGGGGAAAGCAGCACGTGGTGGGGGCATGGGGCCTAGCTAGGGCTCCAGGCTGTGCAGAGGCAGCCTCTGAGGAAGCAGCACAGCTCCTTGGCCCTGAGCAGCCTCACACAGGCAATGGCTGGCAGGGAGCAGGTCTGGGTGGCCTCGAGAGCTTGACCTCTGGGTCAAGCTGCCTGGCTTTGAATTCCAAACTCCACTACTCAGCAGAGGGAGCCTGGCCTGGTTGCCTGACCTCTGTGCCTTGCTTCCCTTGTCTGCAAAAGAGTTGTAATACTCTCTACTGAAGCTGTGATATAAAGCCCTCAGAATGGCCAGTGGGCCAGGTGCGGTGGCTCATGCCTGTAATCCCAGCAGTTTGGGAGGCCGAGGCTACAGGATAGCTTGTTGAGCTCAGGAGTTTGAGAGCAGCCTGGCCAACATGGCAAAACCCCGTCTCTACTAAAAATAGAAAAAATTAGGGCATGCACCTTTGGTCTCCAGAGGCTGAATGGGAGGATCACTTGAACCCAGGAGTTCGAGGCTGCAGTGAGCTGTGATCACACCACTGCACTCTAGCCTGGGCAACAATGCGAGACCCTGTCTTCAAAAAACAAGAATGGTCAGAGATCATGAAATGCCTGATAAATGATGTCATTTCTTGGGGCTGAGCACTCTGCTGCAGCCAGAACAAGTCTGGTTGGGGACAGCTCATTGGGTGCTCTAGAGAAACTCCTCCTTCCTGCCTGGCTAGGAAAATGAGAGGGACTGGTGTTGAGGTGGGACTGGGTATCTATGAGCAGGCAGTGATTAAGGTTTCGCCCTGGCTGGAATGCAGAAATCCTGGCTGAGCTGGGCTTCTTCAGGCTAGGGGTTCTAAAGGCCTTGGGGCTGGGGCAGGGGGAAGCCAGCAGCTGGCCAGGGGAGCAGTGTGGGGGTGGCCAATGCCCAGGCCTGGCCTGCAGGAAACACTCCCACCCTCTCAGCCCTGCCCACTGCTCTGCCTGCCACCCTTCTGCACCCAAACTCTCCACAGCCCTTGGGCCCAGGTGTGTCCCATCAGCTCTGAGGGGGCTGCTCTCCCCTGTCTTGGCATCCAGCCTCAGCTGAAGAGGGTCATGCACCTTTATGGGAAACACATGACTTTCTTCCCTGGCAGCTTTCAGGCAGTTCTTTATGCCCAATATTCTGAAGCTGCCTTACACTGTGTGTTGGATCCTGCCTGTTACTAGGAGTCTTTCAGTCTCCTGCCCCTTGAGACTCTCTCCCTTGGTCTATGGCCTGACTGGGCTTCTGCCCCTCCACTTGAACTTAGTTCAGCAATTGGCTTCTCCCACACCACCTGTTTCCCCCAGCGCTTCCACTTCTGAGGCTTTGGATGCACAGACTGCTCCAAGAACTGTGCTTGCTGGGTGTCAGTTCCTCTCGCTTTTGAGGTGTGGACTCCTGCCCTGGTGGCTGCTGCCTCAGCACTACTCCAGTGATTCCTGCTCTGGCCCTCTCAGTTTCTGCCGCCCTGTGAGCTTCCCCAGTTACATGTGGGCCTGGCTAAGTATCTCCATCTTTCTCCGGCTCCAAGATGCTGGTGGCCCTGGTGAGGTCTGCCATTGGTCTGCCAGGTCCCTCTGCACTGAGGCAGGGGAGGCCAGCGAGGACTTCAGGGCTGCAGAGCCTTCCCTGCAGTTTCTTCTTTACAAACAGGGATTCAATCCCTAGTCTGGGGTATGTGTGAGACCACAGGGAGCAGGGCCTCAAGGCATGGGCACCATGCCAGGCCTATAGGACACCTTCCTGCAGCAGGCAGAATCCCCTTCCCAAGTAGGAGGGGAAAGTGACAAGGACCAGGGCCCAGGGAGGGAGCAGCAAGGCCACGGGAAAGGGCAGCTGGCATCCGGCTGGATTTGGGCTGCCTCTGGGGATTTGGGAGGGAGGACTGGTGGAGGACAAGGCACACTTGGCTCAGCAGCATTCCCCTCCTCTCCCTAGGGAAACCTGTTTGACTTCCTGCGCTTGACGGAATGGCGTGGCCCCCGCGTGCTCTACTTTGGGGACCACCTCTATAGTGACCTGGCGGTGAGGGAGGCAGAGCTGGGCTGCAGGCGGGGAGGGCCAGGAAACCCCACCCCCACCCCCGCAACTGGTGCTGAGCCCAGTTCTGCCGCCCCACCCACCAGGATCTCATGCTGCGGCATGGCTGGCGCACGGGTGCCATCATCCCTGAGCTGGAGCGTGAGATCCGCATCATCAACACAGAGCAGTACATGCACTCGCTGACGTGGCAGCAAGCACTCACGGGGCTGCTGGAGCGCATGCAGGTGTGGGCCGAGGTGGCTGTGGGAGGGCCAGGGCAGTAGCCGCCTGGGTGCATGCACCCAATGCACACCTTGTGTCCCCAGACCTATCAGGACGCGGAGTCGAGGCAGGTGCTAGCTGCCTGGATGAAAGAACGGCAGGAGCTGAGGTGAGCAGGTGGGGCCAGGGCAGGAGTCCCGGCCAAGCCACCACCCCAGGCCTACCCCTCAAGTGCATCGTGTCTCCCTTGCCAGGTGCATCACCAAGGCCCTGTTCAACGCGCAGTTCGGCAGCATCTTCCGCACCTTCCACAACCCCACCTACTTCTCGAGGCGCCTCGTGCGCTTCTCTGACCTCTACATGGCCTCCCTCAGCTGCCTGCTCAACTACCGCGTGGACTTCACCTTCTACCCGCGCCGCACGCCGCTGCAGCACGAGGCGCCTCTCTGGATGGACCAGCTCTGCACTGGCTGCATGAAGACCCCCTTCCTTGGTGACATGGCCCACATCCGCTGAGGGCGCCTTTATTGTCCGGGACAGGCCCCCAGCCCCTCCCGCCCTGTCCACCCTGGGCGTCCACCCAGACAAGCAATAAAAGTGGTCTTCTCCCTACGCGTGCCTCTGCTTTCAGCCCCAGTCTCATCACTTGACTGTGAGGATCCTCTGGGTGTCAGGGAAGTCCTCCTCCAGGAGTGAGTCCTAGGAGAGCAGGGCTGTTGGTGGCGGGCGTGACCGGGGCCTGGGCCCATCCCACATCCGCCACACTTCCATGCTCACATGGAAAGGTTCACAAAAGGTGTCACTGCCAAAGACAGGGTTGGGGACAGAGACCAGGGTGGGGTTGGTCCCTTCTTGCCACGGTGAGAAGTCGTCAGCAGCATCCTCTTCCGCCTGGGAGCAGCAGAGGGGTGAGTGGCAAGGCACCTTGAGCGAGATCCAAGGATCCGCCATGGCAGCCCCAACCCAGCCCTACCTGGAAGGCAGAGAAGCCAAAGCCCGTGGGCTTGCCTTGGGCACGGAGGTAGAGAGCTCCAGCCACCAAGCCAAGCAGTGCTCCAGCAGCAAGCACAGCCCCCACACCTGCCGCCACAGGTGGGGCTTTGGGCGCCAGCACTGCCTGCTACAAACAGGGAGAGTACTGACCTGGTGGGATCTGTCCCACCACCTTCCCCAGGCTCACAGGTTGTGGGGATGCCAGGAAGGGCTCTGCCTCCCCAATCCCCAACTTACAGGCTGTGGGGGTGCCAGGAGGGGGCTGGCCAGAGCATGGATGATGCCATTGAAGGCCACGATGTCCCACACGATGACATGGCTAACCACAACTGTCCCCGGGGCCTGCAGGGAGACCAGAGTCAAGCCCATGGTGAGCAAGGGCCAGGGCCACCAGGGTGGGACAGCTGCCAGACTCACCACAGGGGCCCAGGAACTGTTGTCAGGGCCTGCATCACTGATGATGAGGCTGAGGCCTGAGTGGGCTGGAAGCAACTTCCCCTGGCTGGCGTTGGCACTTAGGAGGGTGGCGTTGGAGGCGTGCAGCTCCAAGTCTGGGCCACTCAGCGTCTGTGGGCAGAGCAAGGCCTGTTGGCCTGGGCCAGATGGAGATGGCCAATTCGGGCTCTGCTCTGCCCACACCCCTGCTGGTTACCATGTTGTCCACAAAGCCTTCATTGACAGGGACAAAGAGTGTCTTATACGTGAGTTCATCATCCAGGAAGTCCAGGAAGTCAAGACCCCGCTGGGTGGCATTGGCATAGCCCAGTAGCATCTGGCATGGTGGAAAGACAGAACTGTGAGCAGGCTCCCTCCACGGGGATCCCAGCACCCTCCACCCCCAAGGCTGGGCCCCACACACCCCATAGAAGGTGGAGAAGTTGGCAGTGGCAGCCAGCACATCCAACAGCTTCCCATTGCATGTGCTGATCCCATCACCCACGAAGCCATCTCGGCATCGGCAGGCCACATCTGCAGGAAAGGCAGGTCAGTGGCACAGTGGATTGGTGGGAAGGGGCAGAGCCGGGGAAGTAGGGTTTGGTGGGGTGGACGCACCTTGCACGCGGAAGCAGTAGGCATCCCAGCGCTCCGAGAGGTTCTTGCGGGCACCCAGGCTGACTATGCCCACCCGACCATTGCCACAGTCTGCCACAGGGAAAACCACAGGGTGGGCAGCAGAGCCGTTGGCCAGCCAGCCCATGAGGCACAGGTGGAAGCCCAGCTGTAGGAACAGGAGGGGATGCTGAGACCCAAGACCCAGTCAAGGCCTCCCCCAACACTTGGCCCCAACTTCTGGGCCCCACACACCTGCTGGGCAGCAGAGAGCTGAGGGAATGAAGCAAGGACGGCTCCCTGGGCTTTGCATGCCGCCTCAGCCTCCGAAAAGTTCAGACCATAAGGGCCGCTGGTGGCCTGGAGGTGGAAGACACCAGCCCGTTTCTCTGCAGAATAGAGGGGTGCATGGTCAGCTGGCCAGCTCTGAGGAATGAAATGGGTACTGGGAGTGGGCAGGGGACACACCCTGGAAATGCAGATCAGTGCACACGGCATCTGAGTGGCAGGGTGGTGGCCGGCCCAGGCAGCGGTCCACAGGCGGTTCCAACTCCTCCAGACACTGCAGTCCATCGCCTACGTAGCCTGCGTGGCACTCACAGCGCCGTGTGTTCTGGGGTTGGGGAGAGCAGTGGGCGCCCTTCCGCCCTCAGAGGTCGGAAGGTCTGCCAGGCCTCCCCACCCTGGCTGCTCGGCTCCCCAACCTGCTCACCAGGCCGGTGCTCAAGCAGTCGGCATGCTCGCTGCAGCCCCCGCGGTGGCCATCTGTGCAGGGGTTGCGGGCCCGGCAGCTCCAGCCATCACCCTCATAGTCAGGCAGGCAGGTACAAGTGACCGCTGTTCCTACCTGGCTGCAGTTGGCATGCTCACTGCAGCCACCATGCCCGTCCTGGCACAGGTCTGCCACTGAGGGCAGGGAGGCAGTGGTTGGACCCAGTGACTGCAGGGGAGTGGAGGCCTCCCACCTCCATGTCCCCGCCCACCTGCTTACCTGTACACACGCGGCCATCCCCTTCGTAGCCCAGGCTGCACTCGCAGCTGTTGCCTGCACGGCACACAGCCTTGGGTGCACAGGGTGGGGTACACACAGGCTGCAGCTCTGTCCCCGAGGGCCCAGCCCCCAGAACCAGGTTAGTAGTTGCCTTACTGGCCTCTGCCCATTCCACCCACCCTTGGTGCCTTTACTGATGTGTGCACATGTACACAAGTGTGCAGGGTGGGCACAAGCACGGGGCTACTCACCCAGTTGCACCTCACAGTGTGACCCAGTCCAGCCTTCATCACAGAAGCAGGAGCCAGAGCCCCCAAGGCCCTCATCACAGCGGCCATGCACAGTGCAGCGGCAGGCTGGGGAGAAGGACAGGCCGGAAGATAAAGATTGGCCCACAAGGGCCAAAGGAATCGGGCCGTGGGGCAGGCAGGGACGGCCCACCTTGACAATGGGGCCCAAAGGCACCCGGTGCACAGAGTTCACAGGCTGTCCCAGCAAAACCTGAACGGCACAGACACTGCCCACTGCCACTCATGCCGTCCATGCACATGCCACGGTCACTACAAGGGCTGCTGGGGCCGCCAGGGCAAGCTGGGGATGGGGTAGGAGAAGTGAGGTGGGGCCAGGGGCTCTCACCAGGACCCCCATACATGTACCTCCAGCCTAGCCCTGCCATCTGTCCCCGACCCATGTCCCCACACTGCTAAGATCCCTCCAGGCCTGTGTCCTGGAGAGCATCCAGATCCCCCAGCACTCCTCCCCAGGTTCTGCACCGTCCACACTCCCACCCTGCCTCTCCCAGCACTCCCACTAGTAAAATCTACTCACCACCCAGAGCTCCCCAGCCCTGGATGCCCCAACACCCTCTCAGGGACAATGGCCAGAGCTGTGCCTTGGCTCTCTTGGGGAACAGAGGAGCCAGTCAACAGTGTCTGCAATGCTCACCTTGGCACTCACTGCCATAGTGACCAGGGCAGCAGCTGGGCTTCCAGGTGGTGGTGACACAATTGCGGTGGCAGCCCCTGCCCAGGCCTTGGGGCCTAGCCCAAAGGCTGTGCTGGACCCAGACGCTGTGTAATCCCAAAGAGCGCAGCGGAGGGGACGTCCAGAACTTCGGGTACAAGCGCCAGCAGGCCTCAGGGCTGCCCTGGGCCAAAGGAGTCAGGCCGCAGTCGGGTGGTTCTGAGTTTGGTGGTCCTTGGGCTCTGCCTGCCCCCACCCCACCACCCCCACTCAGCCCCTAGCCCTGTACCTGCTCCTGTGACCCCTCAGGACAGGGTGGCTCCAGCCCACAGATGCTGCAAGTGTTCTGGAAGGGAGGGAAGCCAACACAGCAAAGTCAGATGGACGGACACCACAGGGGTGGGCTTCTACCCGTCTGCCTCTGGCCTCCCTCACCAGTCGCAGGGGCCGGGTCTCAAAGTGGTCACAGCGAGCACCAAGGCCAGGTGGCTCCAGCAACTGGTCGATGCCGTAGGCCAGGCCACCCTCAAAGGGCAAGTGCCGCTGCACAATGCGGGCATCATCCTCACCCACCATGAGCTCACCCTGCAAGGAGAGAATGTGAGGTATGCGGGGGTCACAGGTGCACTCCAGCTCCACTGCCAGGGCCCCTGCCTCCTACTCCCCTCATCCAAGCCCTCTCCCCAGACTCACGGGCCGCGTTCGGCTGCAGGCGAAAGAGATGGGGGTCCCATGCATGGTTCGAAGTGGGCCCAGGTTGGGCAGGTCAGATGCCAAGGCCTGAGCAGGTGGAATCATGATTGGAGGTGGAGAGGCAGGGTGAGCTGCAGACAGTGAGGACCAAAGTTGGAGGCTGTACCCACCTCGACATTGCGGATCATGTGGCCCCGCAGAATGGCTGCTAGCTTGTCACGGTGGTCCTCATGGTACAGCCAGGCCTGGCGATCCGGAGGCAGGGCTCGAAAGGCGGCGTCTGTGGGCCACAGCATTGTGAAGGGCCTATGGGATGCCTCTCGAAGCAGGGGCAGGAGGCTGGCCACCTGGTGGGGTGCAGCAAAGGTGTGGCAGTCGCAGCCCAGTCAGAGACTAGTGAGCAAAGGCAGGGAGCTGTGCCACAGAGCAGGAAGGGGCTCCACACTCACCCACTCTCATCTGTGACCATCCCAGGCAGGAATGTGTGTGCACACATCTCAACTGTGCACACTGCTATCAGAAATGCGGGCGCACATAAGCACACCCATGTGCTCACCCTGGGGTGCTCATGCACACAGATGTGGCTTGTGCACACGTGAGTTCACACAGGCTCACATGGGACAGTGGGCACACAGGTGGGCATGCACGCACAGGTACGCATACACACTTGCACACACTTCCATGTGCATATGTGTCCACAATGACAGGCCCAGACGGGAGCAGTACCTTCAGGAGGCCGCTGAAGATCTTGTAACCGAAGCCCTGGGCAGCAGCAGTGACATTTCTCTGAGGAAAGGCTCTCATAAACAGCTAGGCCAGGCGAGAAGGGAGGATCCCAGGCCCCCAGCTGCCTGCCTTCCACCTCCCAGGCCCCTGCCTGTCATACCCTTGGGATGGGTTCATCATCCGGCTCCCAATGCAG